ACACTCTAGCCCCCCCCCTGAACACCCCTCCCTCCCTCTCTTCTCCAACCATTCAACCTGTGCTTAAGGTGTGTGTACAGGATGTGAACCGGGTCTTCAGAAAACAGAAGACTAAGAAAGCTTCAAGCCCAGATGATGTTTCACTTGCCTGTTTAAAAGTCTGCGCTGACCAACTGGCCCTCATCTTTACACAGATCTTCAACAGATCTCTGGAGCTGTGTGAAGTTCCCTTCTGCTTCAAACACTCCACTATCATTCCGGTCCCCCAAAAAAAACAAATCACTGGATTTAACAAAACTACAGACCTGTTGCTCTCACGTCTGTGGTCATGAAGTCATTTGAGAGACTGGTGTTGGCCTATCTAAAAGACATCACTGGACCCTTTTCTGGATCATCTTTAGTTTACGTTTAGTTTAGTTTAAAATTAGAGATGCAGTCGTCAGTAAAATGACGGGGGGAAAAAACATTAGGGTTGTACTGCTGTGGTACAGTGGAAAAAATTTTATTTTGCCTACTGATTCTTTGCAACCTCATCTTTAGGATGTGAAAATAAAACAAATTTACTTTCACAGCATAGGACACAGCGTCTTCTCGACATCAATAAGATAAAGTGCTTGAGGGTGGGTCAAGTTGTTCACGGCCGGCCAACGAAGAACATAGGTGTGCATTATGCCAATGTGTTACCCAGTGACGTGGTGTATCCTTCACGGAAGTGGGATTCAAACTGATGACTCATTTTGGCTGTTCAGAGTCTATTCTTTCTTTTGGGAGACAATAACTGTATTTATCGTGCACTTTCTAGCTTTACAACTGTGCAGATTGTTTACATTCACGTACAGCTATATTACACACTGCATGAAAGGCAATATTCGAAATGGCATAATGGGACACTTTAAATAATAAAAATAACAAATAAATTAAAGTGTAGAATGATTTTTTTTAAAATTATGAGTAACTCAATGGAAATGTAAGTAGTGCCATAGTTATGATATGACTGTGTAAAGATCCTCAACAGCAAGCAAAAACTTGATCTTTTTAGTTTTTTTATTCCTTCTTTCAAGTGTCATAATCCATAGGACGCTTAACTGCATAAAAGAAAGGAACACAGTATGACTGGATAGCATTACAACAAAGTACACAATGTGAGGGACTTGCACAAGACATTGAGAGTGTAATACAGCCCTGTTTACACACAAGTGAGAGCTTAGCACAAACAGCGGTAGGTTAACACTCTGACCTATTTGTCATTAAACTACCCTTGTGTTTTCTTAAAAGGTGAGCATGTCTAGAAGCATGCTGGAGACCGTCCTCAAACACTGGGACTCCCGTGGGAGCTTAGAATGCAATGTGCAGCTCAACTTCTCCAGGCCTGTGTACACAGTTAAAACAGGAGGTGAGTGGCCAGAGACAAGGGCAGGAAGTAGAGAGGGTTTCATGACCACTGTTTATTAGCAGCCTGCTCTCTGTTTGCCATTGTGCAGAGGCGGGCTTCTTTGGTCTGCTTAATGCCGTCCCTGTGGAGGTCAGGAGGTTGATTCTGGCCCACAGCCAGCAAACCAACAGCCATTTTGAGCCCCTAGATACAGACCGAGGTATGTAATACATCAATATGTCTTATATATACACACAACCAGTGTATTAGACATGTTTAATGAGATATGTTTTGTTAGGAAACATCAAAGACAAAGAGGAAGATTGGGACTCTCATTGGTCCAGTAAATCATCAGCGTTCGATACGTCCGACATGAGGCCTGGAGGAGTCTTGAACCCAACAGCATGTCTACACCCGGGAGACATTCTTCTCTTTACCGTGACCCAACAGCACTATCCTCAGTATGATGTGTAAGTACATGCTGACATGTGATTCATCTGCAGCCCATCCATTTTCACTGTCCCAGATTGTCACAGAGGGAATCCTGCTTTTTTCACAGAGACAGCTTGTACAACACTAATGATGCGTTTGACTGGGGACCCTTCAGATTACTGGCACAGGACCAAGAACTGGCACGATCTACCCACTCCCTTTTTTCCATAAGTCTCCATGAGCCTGGGGTGTACACCTTCAAACTCAGCAGCCACCAGCATAGGCACATGGTATTATGATCCATTTTCATGTTATGGTGGATAACTGTTACATGTTATTAAAATTATGTACTACTAAATAGTAAATAAATTAAACAATAAAATACTAAAAACTAAAATCAATTGTTTTAAATGCAAATTAAATTTAAGTTTTTTTTTTCAGTTAAATATGTTTACACACATACTTTGGTAAAATTACAGCTTTACATATTTTAATACAATAAAAACAGCAATATTGTGAAAAATTATTTAATTTATTTAACAATTTTAAATCATTTTTCTATTTTCATATATTTTAAAATGTAATTTATTCCTGTGAATCAAAGCTGAATTTTCAGCAGCCATTAGTCCAGTCTTCAGTGTCACATAGTTCTTCAGAAATCAATCTAATTAATTGATTTGGTGCTCAAGAAACATTTGTGATAATTATCAATGTTAAAAACAGTTTTGTGTAAACCGTGATACTTTCTTTTTCAGGATTCTTCGATGAATAGAAAGTTAAAAAGAGCAGCATTTATTTTAAATAGAAATCTTTTGTAACATTATAAATGTCTTTACTGTCACATTTCATCAAATAATGCATCCTTGCTGAAGAAAAGTAATACCTTATATATAATTATAATTCTTTTTTAAATCTAAGTGATTAATAAATCATTTTCACAAAATAAATATTTAAATAATTTTCTATTTCACTTTGTTTAGTTTATCTTAATTTTAAATATTTAACTATTTGAAGATTGAAATTCTTGGTCTGAGACAAGGAAAAAAAACAAACAAACAAGGGAAATCATAAAAAGCAACTGAAAAGTAGAAAAAGTAAAAAAAAAAAAGTTAAAAAAAAATCAAGGTATGATAAATAGTTTTCAAAACTTTCACATAAAAAATAAAAAGTTTAAATCGTTAAAACCAAAAGTTAAAATCAACCACTATGTCCATTTATTCATTGATGTTATTGTTTGGTCCTTTTAGTATGTGAGGGTAGTGCCTGCAGGTGGAGAGTGCTATGACTCTGGACCCTTCTTCCCTTCTGACCCACATCATTTGACTCGCATGGGCATCGCACAGAGACGCCAACTGCTGCTCCGCCCCGACTGGCTGATGATCGGTGGGCTTTTAGTAGGAGCTGTAGTAATCCTGTGCTTGTGTGTCATAATATTGGTAAGTGTTAAGGAAGGCTTTAACAAAAACCTTGGGGTTAACAAAGCTTGGCTTATTAAAGCGACTGAACACTGTGTCCTCACAGATCCTGTTCAGGGAGTACGGCTGGCCTGAGAAACTGCCAGCTCAGGCCAGGTACCGTGATCTGCAGCTAAGGTACAACATGGACGACTATTCATCAAAGGGCTCCAGGGTGGTGGCTGTGAAAAAAACACATCGAAACCGGCAGGTGGGGTTGACTGAGGATTCAGTGCAGAGAGGTAACCACTGACGTCAAAAACCACAGACACATGAGCAAACCTTTTTTTTTGTATTACCAGGGGCTACATATGCTACCTTCTTACACAATTAGACCCACCTTACACAAGATCCCTGTGCGACCCAGGTTCATCCCCTTGACCATAATGCCTCATGTACAGCCACATCACATTCGATACGAGTTAAAAGATTACACAGACTTCACATACACTAGTAACAAACATTGTTAACACTTTGCAATTAGGAACTAACAATGAACTTGATCTTTTTTTCTTTTTAACGTTTTTGAAAGAAGTGTCTTTCCATGGCTGGAAAGAGACTTAATACATTCAAAGTGACAGTAAAAAGTACAAATTTTAATAAAACTGTAATAAAAAATTACAACTAATTTAATTTAAAACAACTGTTTTAATATATTTTAAAATATAACTTTCTTCTGTGATGTCAAAGGTGAATTTTCAGCATCATTACTCCAGTTTGCAGTGTCACATGATCCTTCAGAAATCATTCCAATATGCTGATTTGCTGCTGAATAAATATTGCTTTTTATTATCAATATTGATAACAGTTGTGCTGCTTAATATTTTGTGGAAACTGTGATAGTTCAAACTTAGACCAAAAAATTTAAAACGGTAGTGTAGAACCTTATTGTAAAATGTTATCCAAATATGATTCGATTTGGAATTATTTGAGACTGAATAAAAATTATTATTATTATTAATTATACATTTTGTTTTCATTTTTCCCCAAGTACAAACATACTATTGGTGGCAGGAAGTAACTATTTTTATATTATAAAATATAACATTATTTGTATTATATATATATATATATATATATGTAGTATTATATACATTTATAATATAATATATCTAATGGCCAAAAAACAGACAAAAGGAAAACATTTGATCAATTAAAGCTACTTTTTTTTTAGATAGAAAAATATCTATGGATGCTTGAAAATGAGCAAACATGATTTTAGACATGACACCCAATGCTTTTTGAACATTATCAAATTACAAGGAATCCCTCTGTACTTCACAATAAAGGAGAAAACAATTTCCCCAAGATCTCAAAAGCTTGTTTCTTTATTTGCTCCAAGTAGCATTTGAACATCCATTGCCAAGATTCCTTGTCTGCTTAAGATCACCATGATATCAGGCTTCATTCATCATGGCTGTAGCAAACTGACCTATTTTAAGTGCAAGTTTAGGATACCCCTGACGTTTTGGCAGAACCATATCTCTGTTTGACAAACACTTAGAGTCCTAGACAGCATCATACACAGTTACCAAAGATTACTCTTCGCTCTCAATGCAACGATTGGGTGTGACACATTTGGCTGTCCTATGGTATTGTATTGGCTCTGTCCAGAGCTAGAATTCCCACAGACTGTGCTCACATTGCCCGCAGTGGTGGCTCTGGTGTCAAATGAATTCTGGGACTATGAAGAGCAAGTGGATCTTGAAGCCTTCAGCTCCAGCACCTTCTATGACATCCTACTCAAGCACAGCGTGTCTGTCACAATACGTCTCGGGCAGCTCAGAGGAGAGGTGAGACTCTATGAGAACAACAGTCTATTTCCCGCCCCTATATGAGCTTCAAATATCACCCTCGTAAAGTTCAAATATATTTACCCATATTGAATAACATCACTGAGATGCTCAGTTGTAATTAACAGTCTCTCTTGTTTCATGCTTCACTATGATACTATGTGGGATACAGCAGTGAATTGTTACTTCCCTGGGGCGAAGTGTGTGGATCAACTTGTAAAATGAGTTGTAAATATAGCATCCCTTTGTCAGCTTGTTTCATTGATGGAAACATGCTCCCTGTCTAGGTGAAGCAGCTCTATCAGGGGGTGCTGGGGAAGTTGAGAGAGCTCCACCCTGGCTGGAGGATGTTTGGAGGGAAAACCGAAGGTCTGGAGAGGCAGGTGGAGCAGGAGATGGTGCGACGAAGAGCACTGGGCAATCAGCTGACACAGCTACTGGACAGCCAGCTGCAGATCCTGCGGGTGGAGATGAGATCGCAGCAGGCCATGCAGAAGACGTTCAGAGCGCGACTGAGAGAGAGCGCGAGGCTTCTGAGACTGCTGGCTGAGGGTCAGACCTCACTCTGGGATAAACACATCAAGCAACAGTATGTCATGGAGAGGCAGATATGTATCTGTCTGTTTTATCTCTGCTTGTTTATGTGTTTGTGTGTGTTTGAAACTTAAAGAAAAATCCTCAACCACAAAAAAGTGGTTCATTAAAGTCAATTGATTAAAAATATATTATCAAATTAATCATATTATAATAATCAAATGAATCACACTTAATCGTATACATTATATATTTGCTTAGAAAAGCCCCCAAATGAAGCCCCATTTCATTTTTGTTGCAGACAAATGCATTGAATGGACATTACAAAAAGTGACTTAAGAAGAATAGACTACTGTTCAAAAGTTTTTGGTTAGTAAGATTTTTTTTTTCAGCAAGGAGACATTTAATTGACATTGAATTGAAGACATTTATAATGTTACAAAAGTTTTACATTTCAAAAAATGCTGTTCTTTTGAACTTTCCATTCATCAAAGAATCCTGACCGTTTCCATACAAATATTAAGTAGCAAAAACTTCTTAAACATTGATAATAATAAGCAATGTTTCTAGAGCACCAATTCAGCACGGAATGATTTCTGAAGGATCATGTGACACTGAAGACCGGAGTAATGACTGCTGAAAATTCACCATCACAGAAATAAATTACATTTTAAAATATATTCAAATAGAAAACAAGTAGTTTACATTGTAATAACATTTCACAGTATTACTATTTTTACTGTATTTTTAATCAAATAAATGCAGACTTGGTGAGAGATTTCTAAGAGACTGCATTCAAAAACATTTTAAAATCTTACCGACCCCAAACGTTTGAATGGTGGTGCATTTTTTTGTTTTTGTTTTAATTTCATATCATCGAAGTCTATCACTGGCCTACAGATCACTGTGGTTTTTACAATTTACAGTTTTACAATTAAGTTGTCGATCTGTCCGAGGTAGGCTATTCACATAGGATGCATTCTTTTATTTCGCTGTCATGTTTTTAAAATAGTCTACATCCAGGCAAGACCCCTCCCCCCTCAAAGGAGTAAAATTTGCATTAACCTGTTGTAATTTGCATTAGTGTTAACTAAAAGCAGTAGAATGTTATTGTGTGGCTTCATTTAGATGGCTAAGTACATGACTGTATACTCAAAATTTCAGGGTTCTCAATGACTGTATTGTATTTATTTGTAGAAGAACATGGTTTGTATAACGGAGAATCTCATATCATCTTCATCCCAGCCCTCTTATCGCATTTCCAGATCAATAATCGCAAAGGAAGTGAGTAGCTTAAAGCTTTGTTCAGAGTGCACACAACTGTGATTTACTTTCACATCCGATCTTTAGGATTGACTGTTTAGTAACTGCTGTGATGAAATTGGATCTGTTTGTTTAGAATGTGCTGTTTGTATCCGATATGTCTGCCTGGATGCAGTATGAGTTACGCATTAGCATAATATGAAGAAAGTAGGTTTCATTGGGAAAAACTAGACATTTCGCCTCTCCTCATATCTATGATGTCATTGCTCAACACGCATCTCATCAGATAACATAAGCATCAGAGGCATCAGCAAGGCGTCCTTGACGCCCCGGAAGGGCACGACACAGCCAGGCCACCGTAAAACCAATGTCTACCTGACTTCAATGCCTCTGGATCTGACTGCTGAAAATTCACCATCACAGAAATAAATTACATTTTAAAATATATTCAAATAGAAAACAAGTAGTTTACATTGTAATAACATTTCACAGTATTACTATTTTTACTGTATTTTTAATCAAATAAATGCAGACTTGGTGAGAGATTTCTAAGAGACTGCATTCAAAAACATTTTAAAATCTTACCGACCCCAAACGTTTGAATGGTGGTGCATTTTTTTGTTTTTGTTTTAATTTCATATCATCGAAGTCTATCACTGGCCTACAGATCACTGTGGTTTTTACAATTTACAGTTTTACAATTAAGTTGTCGATCTGTCCGAGGTAGGCTATTCACATAGGATGCATTCTTTTATTTCGCTGTCATGTTTTTAAAATAGTCTACATCCAGGCAAGACCCCTCCCCCCTCAAAGGAGTAAAATTTGCATTAACCTGTTGTAATTTGCATTAGTGTTAACTAAAAGCAGTAGAATGTTATTGTGTGGCTTCATTTAGATGGCTAAGTACATGACTGTATACTCAAAATTTCAGGGTTCTCAATGACTGTATTGTATTTATTTGTAGAAGAACATGGTTTGTATAACGGAGAATCTCATATCATCTTCATCCCAGCCCTCTTATCGCATTTCCAGATCAATAATCGCAAAGGAAGTGAGTAGCTTAAAGCTTTGTTCAGAGTGCACACAACTGTGATTTACTTTCACATCCGATCTTTAGGATTGACTGTTTAGTAACTGCTGTGATGAAATTGGATCTGTTTGTTTAGAATGTGCTGTTTGTATCCGATATGTCTGCCTGGATGCAGTATGAGTTACGCATTAGCATAATATGAAGAAAGTAGGTTTCATTGGGAAAAACTAGACATTTCGCCTCTCCTCATATCTATGATGTCATTGCTCAACACGCATCTCATCAGATAACATAAGCATCAGAGGCATCAGCAAGGCGTCCTTGACGCCCCGGAAGGGCACGACACAGCCAGGCCACCGTAAAACCAATGTCTACCTGACTTCAATGCCTCTGGATCTACCCAGCCTCTGCACAGCCTGCCCTTCACCTCCCTCAGTACCTCCTTCTGATTGCACATATCACATGGACACTTCAAAGCCCAAATCCTCCACTCATCCCAATGTGTTGGCATTCCTTAACCTTAGTTTTTTTTTCAATACCATAGTAAACTCATAATAAATAACTGTTTCATTAAAAAATATCAAACTTTAAAGTATATAAATAGTTTCTTTAACATTGTTATTTAAATGTTATGTTAATCCATGATTCATAACCTACTGTATATGTTGTGCATTGCAGTGTTCTGGAGCGAGTAGCTGTGTTGGCTGATGAGATGACTGAGAAGGTATCAGTGGAGAGCCAGAGGCTGGGGGCCTGGGTTGTGCTTAAAGAGGGCACTGGAGCACAGCTATTATGCCCTGCTACTGGATCAGTCCTCAGTAGGGAAGACATCATCGGTGAGACCTTTTCAGATATTAACCATGTAATTCAGACCTAATGTTGTCACTGTTTTCAGTCAGCTGCTGTGCAATCATGTCCCCTAGCCTAGTGGAATATAATAGAAAATAGCCATACTTGAAAAGCCTGGCTACACCACTAGGTGGAGGTATTTTACAACATTGCCCACGCATTGCTGGTCAAATCCTGACAAATAGCTTCTGAGGCTGAACTTGGCATGTCTGTTGCATGACTGATTGATTAAAGTCTGTAGAAACACAGAAAGATTTCACTCTTTTTCCCTCCGCAGCTCCTGATGGATCTGTTAGAGCTTGTGATGCCGTTCATGTAAACCCCCTCACAGGCCTCATTCAACCCAACTCTAATGCCCATATGTTACTGGCCAGTGGACACAGCATGCCAGTTCCCCCGGACTTCTTCCTGCACACCCAGACTGGCAAACTAATGCCTGTGGCTGGAAACGTGGGCTTTGATCCTGCTTCCTCCATCCTTGTCTTTACAGCCGATGCTTGTGTGGGTGAGTCATTCGGTATGCTAGTTAGTACATTTAAATGAATATTCTGAGTTCAGTTCAAGTTAAGCTCAATCAACAGCACTTATTGTTGATTACAGTAAAAATAATTCAAACTAGATAATAATTCAAAAAGAAAGAAAAGGAGATTACGGTGAGGTGCTTAGGATGTAAGTACAAGGGGACAATTTTTGAAGGATGTGCAGCTTTTTATTTTAAAAAAGTACTTACATTATTTTTGGTTAAACCTTGTGTATTTGGCTATATGAACTGTAGAGTTATTCCTGTCATTTGTGACCCTGGACCACAAAACCAGCCATAAGGGTAAATTTTTCGAAATTGAGATTTATACATCATCTGAAAGCGGAATAAATAAGCTTTTCATTGATGTATGGTTTGTTGATTTTTGACATAAAAGAAAAATCAGTAATTTTGACCCATACAATGTATTTTTGGCTATTGCTAATATACCCCAGCGACTTAAGAATGGTTTTGTGGTCCAGGGGCACATTTTTATTCCCATTTTAGATGTTACATTGTCATGGCAATGAAGCCAAATTGAATATAAATTTAATTTAACAGTTTAGGTTATTTAAGTTACTAAGCTAACTACTTTTTCCTCACTAAAGTCACATTGTCATGCGTATTGTTCACGTCTTGTTGCTGTACTGTTGAAACGGTATTGCAACATTTACAGATTTGACTATTCACTTCCATTGTAAATGCTCCACTGTAACCCAAGTAAAGGAGGGATAAGTGGTAACCAACATTGTGCCACAAATGTCATTTATTGAAATTCTCAGTCTCCAGTTCCTTCCTATTTGATGTTCTGTAAAACTTATCTGAATTAGTTAGCGCCAGCAACCAAGC